TCTTCTACATGTTGTCCTCCAGTTGAACCAGCACCATTTGTTGAAAATGCTGTCCTTTTTCCACTGGACAGTTTTAGCTCCTTTGTCAAAGATCAAGTGACCATAGGAGTGTGGGTTCATTTCTGGGTCTTCAATTCTATTCCATTGATCTTCCTGCCTGTCTCTGTACCAATACCAGGTAGTTTTTATCACTATTGCTCTGTAGTACAGCTTGAGGTCAGGGATGGTGATTCCTCCCGAAGTTCTTTTATTGTTGAGAATAGTTTTCGCTATCCTAGGTTTTTTGTTATTCCATATGAATTTGAGAATTTCCTTTTCTAACTCTGTGAAGAATTGAGTTGGGATTTTAATGGGGATTGCATTGAATCTGTAGATTGCTTTTGGCAAGATGGCCATTTTTATTATATTAATCCTGCCAATCCATGAGCATGGGAGATCTTTCCATCTTCTGAGATCTTCTTCAATTTCTTTCTTCAGAGACTTGAAGTTCTTGTCATACAGGTCTTTCACTTGCTTGGTTAGATTCACACCAAGGTATTTTATATTATTTGCAACTATTGTGAAGGGTGTCATTTCCCTAATTTCTTTTTCAGTCTGTTTAGAAGCACTTATTTTTAATATTAAGAAAATTAAGGAAAAGAGCCACAGGGTAAAGAGAGCCAGCTTGGTCACTCTGCCAAACACTTAATACTGTGAATCAATACTGTGACCCTAGCCTTAACCCTAACCCTAACCCTAACCCTAACCCTAATCCTAACCCTAATTAAATGAAAATATGAGCTTTCCCAAGTCATGGATGCAGCCTTTGGTGGCAGCTGTGCTAGGGGCATTCCTAAACATGTCTGTCTTCATGAGAGGATGTTGATCTCACTGAAGATGATTGGTACTGGATGTCTTTATTTGAAAATTCTACCTGTTCTTGGGATTAGCTCTTTCAAAAGTCAGTTAATCTTCTGCAATCTCTGTAAAGAAGAACAACTTTTCATGAAATGCAGAAGCAAAGAACTTCCATTAGCAACCACTTAGAAATATCTTGGGCCATCAAAGGAAAAAAAAATCCCCGAACCAGCAATTCTGCATCTGTATCTTCTTACTGAATGGGGACCAAGTGACCTGTGGACTCCACAGTTTCCAACAACCTAAAAAATATTATGATCATTTTAAGCTGTCTTCCAACTTCCTTCAGACAGAGAATAAAGCTATAATTACTGAAACAGAGTAGCAAGAATGCTCAGCTAAACACAAGTAAAGCTAAGAACACAAACAGTAAAAAATTAGAGTGATCAACAAATACCTTTTAATATTAGCTTTAGATATTAATGATTTCCACTCACCAGTAAAAAGACACACATAAGTTGAGTAGATTAAGAAACAAAACCCACCTTTCTGATGTGTACAGATGAGGAAGCAAGAAGGTGTAATGCCAGAATGCAAAACACTATGAATTTGTGATATTTATGGATATATGTAAGCAACATTATTCCTTTCTGATGTAAAAGGACTCCTGAGAAAGAATCCTATCTGAATTGAACTTGCTCAGTCCCTGTGAATGCTTCCCCACTATCCAGAGTTCAATTGTACAACAGTTCTGTTTTATGTGGAAGACACTGTTTCCCTCGTGTTATCTATTCCATATAGCTCTTACAGTTCGGCCTCCTCTTCTGTATAGCTCCCTGAGCACTGACTGAAGGAATCTGATAAAGATATCCCACTTAGAAATGAGTATTCCAAAGTCTTTCACCCTCAGCACATTGTTTAGCTGTGAGTCTCCATGCTAGTTCCCATCTACTGCAAGAGGAAGCTTCTCTGATGGTGGCTGAGTAAGACACTGATCTATGGGTGTAGCGCAATGTCATTAGGAGTCATTCATTGCTGTATTCTTTTATGAGAACAGTACTATTTAGTTTTCTTCTAGGTCCATGGCCTATTCAGTCCCAGATTGTCTCAAATTTCTGTTTAGAGTTGATTTTGTGGGCATTTTATTTATTATTGCTGTACAACTATGGTGGAATATATACAAAAAAGACAACCTTTTAAAATATGCTTCAGAATATTGCCCAAGGAGAGAATTGTTCTGTCATTGATCAGTTGCAATAGTTTAATAATTTATGCAGTGACTGATTAATGGCAATATGATCATGGTTCTCTTCCTGAGTTCAGCATTCTCATATAAAAACATGCTGCAAAAGGATGGATGTCTCTGGGTTGAAGATGGGAATCAGTGGATATTGCCCATGTCATCATCAGAGCTACTGCTGTGATGGCAGTGTTCCAATAGCTAGAACATACTGACATATGATTTCCAATTTCATTTCAATATCTTTCCTACTTGAGTCCATTCCTTCCAACTTTGGGTCACAGAAAGTACTTTTGTGAGCTAGAATCAGACAAATATTGTAAGATACAAATTTTCAGAAGTTTATTTTATTTTAGAAGCTGAGGTTTGGATTATTGTGGCCAAGATCAAGCACTATTTTTCCCTTCCTTGTCACACTGTCTCATTGTTGAGGATGTATCTTGATTTTTAGACTATGTTGTTGAGCTGACTGGTTTATCAGGAGCTCTGGCACAGACAGCTGCCATACCCCTTGTGAGCAACAAAGTTGTATACCTGACCTGAGCACTATGGACTAACCAAACTGGATAAATCCTGAACCAAAGAAGGCAGATTTGTGATTTGTGTTAAGCGTCATGCCTAACAGGAGTCTGATGTACAAACTGAACAATTCACACATGAAAGGGCATGGCCAATGAAGAACTATGTGGCCCAGCTGAGACTTCCTGAACACCTGGCCTTACTGATAATTCTCAGACCACTTTTTCCATGCTTTGGCCTTGCATGAGTTGAGTCTAGTCCTGAATTCAATTCTGAAGCAACTTCTATTAAGAAATCAGAGATCCTGAGTGCTAATCTTGGGTCCGTTTTTTTTTTTCATCCATATAGGGTGAAAATGTCTCTGATCATTAACAACTTTACTCATGTTCTATCCCTAACCTGATTTAATTTTCCTTTTCCATTTTTAGAATGATTTACAATATATGCTCAGATCCCAGTTTTCTATCCTCTATCTCCTTATATACACTCCCTATCTCTACACCTATCTGTCTCCAAGTCTTCTTTTCCTGTTTCTGTCTCTCTCTTTCTAGAAAGCAAGCAAAGAGGCTGCACATCCTTGTTCAGGCAGGGCTAATAGCAACAGACAGACTGTGGGATCAGCACAGGCATAGATGAGAAGATAGAGCAAATGTACTTCTTTTTGTACAAAATGGAGAATTATTTAGCCATAGAGAAGAGGTAATATATAAAGTGTCCTTGAGTTTAGTGACTGCATTTGAACATTCAGAAGGTAGTGTATGAATTATATTGTATCCAGAAATATGGAAGAAAAGGTGTATGGAGGTGAATATGATCAAAGTAATTGGTGTACTAGAATTAAAATGTTTTGTCAAACTCATCATCATCATACACAATGAATATGTACCAATAAAAACTAAAAAGTAACCATCCATCACAAAATTAATATTTAGAGAAGTAATTTAGCAGTAGTAATTTAGCCTATACTTGGATTAATTAATAAACACTGCAAAGAATATATAATCATTGGTTGATGTAAACAGAACTTTACTTTGTTCCTGAATATTTAGCTCAGTGTTCTCAGTAATTAAACATTACAAAAAGCAGAGCATGGTGGTATACTCCTGTGATTTCCAGCAGCTTGGAAGCAGACACAGGCAGAATTCTGTGAGTTTGAGGGCAGATAGAGAAATATTGTCTTAGAAAACCAAAGCAGCAGCAGCAGCAGCAGCAGCAGCAGCAGCAGCAGCAGCAGCAGCAAATATTACAGCAAAATAATAAAAAAATTGTTCCTTTCAGCAGCAGCTGGTGAGAAAGTGTGAAGTTTGTACTGAAACCTGAAGGGCCTTCAACTTTGTGTCACAGAGTTTGCTTCCATGAATGAAAGTCAGTTGCTAGACAATGCTATATCCCAAATGTCCTGTTAATGCAAAGACTAAGGTTTGAGTTGGTGTGGCTGGGATTCAGTACCGTTGCCCTATTTCTGCTCACACAATTGTTTTGAAAAATCCCCTATCTTTCAGGCTGTACCATTTGCCTGATTCCTCAACAAGAAACATTTATGAACACCTATCATGTGTCCAAATACTAAGAACTATGGAGCAGTGGCATTGAACAATGAACTTTTAAGGGGTTGACCTAGTTCATTTGTAGAGACCTGGGATAACCTCAGGATACAGGTGCACACTGAACTATTATGCCTTGAGCCAGGAAAGGAATGAGATCTGGTGGGATAGAAATTCTAAGAACAATCTTATAATCTGTAAGATACTCAGATATTTAGCCACACCTGTAGCCCTCAGCCATGACTTTATGTGACAAATCCCAAAATCAAGTTCTGAAACAGAAACTTAAAATAGTCTATAACATTCAGCACTGAATGCCTGTGTTACATTTGGGGTGGATATCACTTCTTCTTTATCTTAGTTCAACAAAGTTCTGTTCCCATCAAGGCTGATTACTACCAATACTATAGCCTTCATGAACCCCACATACACTCTGTCTTCAGCCTGGTTTTGCTTGTCTGGATAGATTATGATAAACTTCCAATTTCATGTTACTATTTATTTTGACTTGAATGATAGAAATTGTGATCTCATGCAGAATTGTCCCTGTTTCTAAATTGCAATTTTAAGACAGAATGACTAGGCACTAATAGATTGTTAGAAATGGAATGAACACATGATTAGGTCTGTGAAAGAATGGAATCAAGGAAGACTATGATGACACTTGTACTGTACAACTCTATGGTATAATCAGATGTCCAGAGGAGAGTTTAGAAAACTGTGTGCATATGAAGATAGCACTACCTGGGATGATGATGCAGGTTATGACCCTGCTTGTAAAGTCCAGGGTGCCAGGACATTCCACCCACTACTCTAAATTCTAGTGACATATACACTAAATCAAATGAAGTAGAGCACAATTGCAGGTTGTGAATGGATATTTTATTGTGGGAGAAAGGCTATGGTAGGCTAAAACACGAAGGGTGTACTTGGACATGTTTCTAATCTCAGCCTCTGTGAGTAAGATGAAGGTCAGATGACTTAGGCACACTTAGCACGGGAAAAACTCTTCTCCACAGTGTTCCCTTCATGAGTGACATGGCAGCTGTATATGTTATGAGATTCCCATGATTCTGCTGTCAAAAGCAGGTAGCTGCTAGCCATGTACTCGTTGTCACTCTGCTTGGAAGGCTGGGTAGTCTCCATACCCTGAGTGATAGGGATACCATCTGCCTTCCAGATCACTGTCACATCAGCTGGATAGAACCCAGTGATCATACACACCAGTGTGGCCTTGTTAGTCTTGAGCTCTCCAGAGGAAGGTGGGAACAGATTGACTGAGGGCATAGCCTTGGGCTGGCCTGCAAAATGGAAAAAGAGAAGGTCAGAATCTTTTTTTTTCAGTAGGAATCCTGGAGAAGGTATGTAAAGTGTTCTTGTGTTTAGTAATTGTGTTTGAACATAGCAGAGTACAGAAGATGATGTATGAATTTCTTCTATATACTCCTCACATGCCTAGGAATTATAAAACTATGCATTTGTGCAATGCTTCACCTAACACATCCTTGCCATTGACCTCCAATACAGACACCTGACCCTCTTTCTCCTATCTTTGTATCCTCTCTGCATTTTATGTATATCTGCAGTCTTCCTATCCCACCCTGAGTACAGTTCTGATGTAAAAACTCTGCTCTAAATCTAAATTTTAAACTTCTGAGTTTGTTTTCCCCAAAATCTGTGCCTCCTGGGTACAAGCATAGCGTCTACTTGCATGAACTTTTTCTCATTCTGCAGAATGAAATAAGACTCACATCTCTGGATGAGTTGGATAATTTTCACGCATCAGGACCATATCTATGTGAACTCAGTTGCTGTATCTTCTAAGCAGTCTTTTAGAGAGACCTAGGAGCCCAGCTTTCCAGCTAATATTATCCCTCTTCCCTTGAATTTCCGTGGCCAAAGCTCCTTTCCCTTTCTATGCTTTATTAAAATTCCCGAGTTCTAGGTTGGATGCTGCTCTGTTCATGTCTTTCCACAGAGGCTCTGGAATCCATTATATATCCCAACTATCCTAGAAAATTAATTCTGAGTTCCACTGTACAGGTTATCTGGCCTCTGACATGTCCTTTCTCAGTCTCTTTGCAGAGTGTTCTGTGCTCTCCAAATTTAACAGCTGTATCTCTCTCTATGCCTCCGTCCATGAAATGACAATTCAATGTATTCCTCACAAAGTTCACCAGAAAAAATAGACATTCAAAGGTGATGGTACAATGGAGTACTTATCACAGTGCTGCATATCTCAATGAAATTATAGACAGACATTGACAGTTTATGTGTTGCAGCCCCTTGTCTTTGAGATTAGACATGAAAGGCTATAGAGAACAGCCTGAAATGAGACACAGAATCTAGAGAAGAGATTATTTACCTAGAGTGAGGTTTAGGCATGAAGGACAATACAGAATGAGGATTATCCAAAAAAATCACTTCAAAGCTTGGAGATGACAATAACAAAGGAGGAAGAAGTCACTTACCTAGGACAGTCAATCTAGTTCCTGGACCAAACACTCAGCACTGTGGTATAGACTCATGCAAAATCCCTGCGTGCACCTCATTCTTCAGTTGCATCTGTGATGAGTGCAGGTGGTGATGATTCTAAGATGGTGGTGACATCACTGTGATATCCTTCTTTCCAGGTTTCACATGTCCTCTTGGCCAGTCTTGCCAGAAAAACATCCATGATTTTCCCATATACTGTATGGAGAAGCTCTTCACAGGGTAAGAAGGAATAGAGAAGAGCCCTCAGTGACAGCTTGAGGAGACCACCAGCTGTATGGAGTCTATGTACAATCTTGAGATCACTAGCTTAATCTCTGCATCTCATTCCTGGAAAAGAGCAAAGAGAAACATCTGAGGCACTTTAGGAGAGGACAGATGGAGAACACACACAACCGTCAGTATCAATCCACATTTCATCTTCCTACACATGGTAGAATCATCACCAATAATATTATACTAAACACTGTAGGATCATGATGTATAGCCATTTGGTGACTATTTTATGAAGAAATAGAAGTAATCAATAACTTCTTTTGAGGTTATTTCCTAGGCATTCTCTTTTTAATCCCAGATGTATAATTTTAGCTAACAGGATGTTAGTTCTAAAGTGGGCTTTCTTAACAAAATGCAGGGGAGAATTTCCTGTTATAGTTAAAGTTATAGTCATATTATAGTTATAATCGTATAGTTATAGTTAATTATAGTTATAGTTGTGAATCAAAATCCAGGTAAAATGTGTGTTAGAATCTGCTTGGTAAGGATAGATATATGGACATTACTATTTCTGTGTTTCCTAATTTTTCTGTTCAAACTTGTCAGTGAAAACTTTATTGAAAACTTGAAACAAGACTATGAGTCTCTGAGAAATAGATGGGTATAGATGAGTGTTGGCCCTGTTCCTAGTAAGGAACATTGCTATGAGGGCACCCAGGATTTTCACTTCCAACTTTTAGGCACAGATTTTATCATGGCCTAGCATCACAAAGGGGATGTAGGCCACAGATCCCAAAAGTTCCTCCTAGCTCAGAAACTGGGAATTTGGGTGCCTAAGATCAAGATCTATTTTGGCAACTGTTACTCTGCTTCATCGTTAAAGAATATTTCTGATTTTGAAGACTATGATACGGGACTGTATGACTCACCTAAGAATTCTGAATGTACTCAGTGTCCATATTGCTTATGAGATGTAGAGGACGATGTCTCCAAACCCTGAATACTAATTACATATTGACCTGGATATAGGCTGGACCACATACGGTTGAATGTCAATTTCAAAGACTGTAGTTGGCATCACTGTAAAGTGCACACTGGGGCGCTGATGCACATGAGAGGACTTGGGTCAGTAAAATGGGTGTCTGTTACACGTAAGCTTACCCAAGCAATTGCTTTAATTTAGCTTTCAGGTCACACTCAGTCTTTTTTTTTAACCTCCTCAACTGACTTTGACTCTGAAACCACTTCCTATGCACAATTATTTGATACCCCTTCTGGGATCAGGTTGGATATACTTCTCACTACATACAACTATTATACTTGAGTGTCTATCCCATCACACGTCCGTCACATGTCCCAGTATTAATGACCATGAACATCAATGTTCCAAAGCATATAATAAAATTCTCTAAGTCTATTGCAAGAACTTACACATGTGGGGACTTTCTATATAACATCAAGTTAATTGTTTAACTCTGAAACATAATATCTTACATGACATGCATTCTAAATGGGTGTCCCTGCATGGCAAGGCTCAGAGAACAGTACAAAACAGGGAAAGGTCACCTTTTGGGGTGATATCCTAAATATGTTTCATGTGAGCTAATTTCTCATTGGGAACAATGATCCTATCTCCGCACATTGTAGATTCCAAGGTTGAAAATTAAGTATATAATGAGAACAAATGGGACAAAATAGTACTTCTGATTAATTAATGATATTTTATTTAATAGTCAGTGGGCAAGAGAGAAAGGTTAAGATGGCTAGTATAGAAAAGAGACCCCACTCAGGGTCCTAGAGCTGCAGGGTTCCCAGGCTAAGGAGAAACCTGGGCGTCTACAGACATTCTGCAGGAGACAGACTCTTCTCCACAATATCCCCTTCATGTGTAACTTGGCAGGTATATCTGTTGTGAGATCTCCACTGGTCTGGTGTCAAACGTAAGAAGCTGCTGGCTATGTACTTGTTGCCCTCTTTGGTGGGATTTGCAGTGTCCACACCCTGGGTGATAGGTGTACCATCTGCCTTCCAGGCCACTTTCACAACACTTGGGTAGAAATTGGAAATCAGACACACCAGTGTGGCTTTGTTTTCCTGGAGCTCCTCAGAGGAAGGTGGAAACACTGTGAGTGTGGGAGGGGACTTGGGCTGACCTGTGTGAATAAAAAAAGGAGTTTGATTCAGAAGACAATATAAAAATATCAAAATCTCAGTGACTACTCAATTTGGTTTTGTTGTTTACCTGGCACTTTCTGTTTTTTCTCACCTGTCCCATTGAGCCTGGTTGAGTATGGACAGTCTTCTCACTAGCCTTTCTCAAAACACTCAACTAAGTTACATATCCTTGACTCTTCCTTTCTGCCTCAATTCCACTATCAGCAGATATGCCTGTGTTCTATCCACCCTCTTGTTTATAATCTAACTTGGGATTTGCACCACATCTGATTACCTTCCCCAGGGCAATTATTTCTCCTTTGTTCCTGTGGTGATCAGAGCTCTCTGGTAAACAGGGTATGTCCCACTTTGCTTTGCTGGCTACAATTTGATTGAGGATGTCCCTCCTTTTCTCCAGTATCTGGGGACACTGAGCCTCCTGTTACCTCAGACAGCAAATTCTCTATACCAGTCCACTCAGCCTTTTCAATTTGTAGTGAGTTTCATCCAGAAAAGATCTGAGGCTACTCTGGGACTGGTGCCTACTGCAAATTTGATCTGATCACAACATCCTTCACTATGTTCTAGAGGTTTCTTTCCTCAGGAGGTAGAGCATAGCAGCCACTTGCTCACTGCAGCAGCATCCTTCCCTGACAGTCAGGTAGTATTTCAAAACCCCCAAGTTTATCCCTCATTTTTTACTTCCTGCATATAATAGGCTATTTGAAGAAAGTGAGAAGCTGGCAATGGAAAGATGAAATAGCAAAACCCAGGGTTATGGGGCTTTGTAGATAGAATCCCTGATTATCGCTAGTGATAATTCTGAGATGACCAGGATCTGGTTACTCTACTAGTCAGTGATGCCTCTGTATTCATAGGACCTTAACAGCTCAGTATAAGAACAGAGATCTCAACACTATTACAAGACTACTCTAGGACTATTGGATTCCAATTTAGATAACCTCAGTCTCTGCAAGCTGGGCTTACACCTCTAGATCCAACCTTCTACAACCTATAAAGATATTGTGGGCTTCATGAAAGTTCTAGCTTTTGACCTGGCCTAGGGTCTCAAATTATTAATCTTTCTGAGAATGAGGATGGAGCCCTTGACTCTGGCCAAACTCTAACTAATGCCCATGAGATCTCAGTATATCTGTGAGATTCTAAGGCCAGCTGGTTCAACAATTCTGATTCTTTCTTCAGGTTACTTCAAAATGGTCCACCTCCCCTAGCCACTGAGGAGAAATTTAAGGATTCAGTCCTTATGTCTGAGGAGAGCAAAGAGAAAAAGTTCCCAGAGAGAAAAAAAGACACTTGCAAGACAACAAGGGCTGGCATGAATAGGAAGAAGCATTAAAAACCACTTACCTAGGACAGTGAGCTTGGTTCCACCGCCGAAAATATACCACAGTGACTGAGACCCAACCCAAAACCTGTGGGGCCAGCACCTGTTCTCTGGCAGCTGGGCTGGGTCAAACTACTAGCTATAATGGGTGGAGGCGTGACCTCACTTGAGGAGAGGTGGGTAATAATCCTTTTACAGGCTTGTCTTCTTGTCAGGCAGGCACCCCATGGAGTTGATTCGACACCATGTACTCCCTGCATTATTTCTGATACTATCTGTGCTGACAGCTATACAGCAGATCCCAAACAAATGCAGAGTGACACATTATTTTATGTGCCATTTTGTTGTATGACACATAATCCTATGACTTTTGGCTTCATTTTACAGACTGAGAGTTTTTTTTTCCCCTCACAAACACATTGCCCTATTTGGTCACCTTCTTTGGAACCAGAGACAGAGGACCATTCTTGTCTTATGAAGGTTCCACACAGAGGATTCTCTTTGAATCTCAAACCACAGAGATATAGCTCATTTGCACTTGATTTATATGTGCTTTCTCAGAATATAGTATCTGCTCACTATTTTAATTATCTATCTACACATACATACATACATACATACATACATACAAACATACTTACATACCTATCTTTATATATACATACACCCAACAATGGTCATAAATTATCCATCTCTTTGTTTAACATGTTAGAATATGGGTAGATGACTCTGGCTTTCACCTTCATAGTTTCCTGAAATTTATAATGAAAAAAAAAAACCAAAATTACCCTTCTCTATATTTTGTAGTTCACCAGCACCCCATGTGGCTCAAAAATATCTATTTTTCTCATTACTTTTCTCTCCTCTATGTTTGCAACCGCCCACACTCTGACTATTCTGACTATTCATTCTGACTACATCCTTCCTTTCCCTTTGATCTGCAGCTCATTCTAACACTGCCACCACCATGGTGCTTGTCTTATCATCTTCATGCTATCACTATATTGGACTCACATTGTACACTCACATTGTACACTCACATTGTACACTCACATTGTACACTTCAGCTACACAGAATTTTGTGTACAACCTGTTATTTCTTTTTGGTTCCAGATTCAGGTATTTTATTTCTTCTGGAATATTTGATTGTAACTTCAAAGTCAACAATCTCCAATAATTCCCTGAAACTTGATTCTCTACAATGTCCATTTTCAGTAATTTTTCTCTAATATAGAGCCAGGAGTCATCCCAGAATGTTTTCCACTCATTGAATCAGCATACTTTTCTTGATATTCTACAACACAGCATGCCATTAAAATGCTCAAATGATAAAGACTAACACCCAGTTCACACAAAGAGCTCATAATAAGAATGAATAGGTTTTGTTGAAATTTGATTTTACCTCCCAAAACCTATGGGATGACTCACCCTTCATGTGTATGTATTCATGTGAGTTTTGTGCTCTTAGAGACCAGAAGAGGCTGTCACATCTTCTGGAGATAGAATTATTAAACGTTGTTAGATATGAAATATGGGTCCTGGAGACCAAATGTGAGTTCTGTGAAAGCAGAACTTTAAACACTGAGCAATCTCTCCAGCTTCCCATGATTATTAATTTACTGTGGAAGATTAGTTATTGTATTGAGGCTACATTGTTTTCTCTTTCTTTTTCTTACTTTATTTAAGTTTCATCAGTGTGACAACTTGTCATTGGTTAAAGACTTGTAGATAAGGTATTTATTAGTATATTAGTAGCATAAACCCAGCCTGTGTTTTTTACTAAAGAAAGCATTCTTCTTTTCATTTTAGATGGAAATTTCCTCAATCAGTAATTCTTTCAAACATTTCAAGATTCTTCCTACTTAAGGCAAACATTTGAGTCAGAAACAAGGACAATCTGTATCTTATCCTTTTATCATTTACAATATTTCACTCTTCTAGATACTAGAATAGGCCTGGGAACATGAATGCCTCATAAAATACCAGCCAATCAACAGAGCAGTCTACAAGAATCAGCTGAGGAATCATTGAATTAACAGGAGAACTAAGTGGCTGAATGCAGGAGCAGCCTACAAAGTCTTCAAGATTCTACTCTATATGAACAATCCACTTGTGATTAAGTAATATTATAGAAAACACTATAGAAACAAACAACATATAATATAATACAAACAATTTGCTTTGTGAATAAACTACTTGGCTATTTAACATAAAGGCCAGATATCAGAGTACATCTTGTTTCTTGTTTAAAATGCTGGTTATTGGAAGATCATTTTAATTTCAAATTAAGCATATACTGAATCAAATTGCATAACAACAAAAGTAGACTCCTTGAGAAACAGGAAATAATTATAAAATGAAGTAGTAATAACGGTGGAGAATAGGCACATGTAGTTTGATAAATAGTAATAATAACTAATTATTTTCTTGCTAGATGCTGATGCATACTTTAAAGCTAATATAACCAGAGTAGGGTGGTATGATGCAACAAAAGAGCAAGAGAACCAAACCGAGAAGGTGGTAAATCTCTAGGTCAACATTAGCAAGTGCAACAACTGATTTTCAACTTGGAAAGTTAAGTATTCCAGTACACAGAACATAGTCCAGATAAAGTTATACACACATATAAACAAAACTGCAAAGAATCCAAACAATGAAATTTCCACCATAAAACATAAGCAAAGAGATTCACAACATTAAAGTTCAATGACTTTTCTTTACAGGTCTCAAATTACATAAACCACACAGAAAACACTAAATCAAACAAACAGATAAAAAGTGTCAGCTGCTTTGTACTTGAACATCTCACAATGTCAGAAAATATAACAAGAACAATCTTGTAATAAAGATACTAAATAAAGTTAATATTCTCAGTAAAGTTCTGTATATGATAGCACATGCCTATAGTCCTAGCACTTTGGAAAGAGAAGCCAGGAGACAGGTTGTAATTTCAACACTAGCCTGCACTATATCCATGTAAAGTTACTTATGTGTATGTTTTCATGGCTGACTGTTTAACACTGGACAACCAATTAGTGTGCTCTTCCCTGGGGAGTATCACTCTCCTGCTTCAGAATTTACTCAGTTCTTTGTAGTCCTTTGTGTAGGTTTGAGGTCTCATGAGCTTTTCCCCATCCAGTATGGCAGTCTTCAAACCAAACTTACAGCATCCATCTGGGTGTTTGCCCAAATGTGTGAGAGACGTGTGTGTGTGTGTGTGTGTGTGTGTTTGCAATAAGACATCAGATAGAATAATGAAAGTACATTGACCAACAGGACAGTGTCCACCTGATCAAAAAATATGGAAGTTGGCAAGAGGAAATATTTGCATTTTACTTTTTATATTTCTGTGATTATGCTATATAATTAACATATGCTTATATTAATCATGTATACTTATACAATTAGGTATTGCTTTTATATTAACATTATTTTATGCCTTAAAATTAAATATATCTTCATATTAACATTTTTATAAAACAAAATAAAAAAGAAAATCAAAATTAAGTAAAATCTCACCAACCAAAGATACACCATTGAAGTCCTTTAGTGTTTGCAGCAGGCTTTGAAAAGACACCCGTATTAAGAAGGGATTGTTATACCCATATCTATAGTCATATTATAATTAGATATATGTATATCTAATTGAAATACTCATATCTATAGGTTTAAATCTAACATCCACATATAAGAGAAATAACAAAGGGATCTTCCAAAGAGGTGGGAATAAAATAGAGTGTTATAAAGTGATAAAGAGAAAACTGGAAGAGAAATATTAAATGAGGGGAATGGGAAGTTCTGATAGAGGAAGGAAAAAGGAGAAGTATTAACAGTAAAGACCTTTTGAAAACTCATGTGGAAAACTACTACTGAAGAAGTTTCATTAAATATATACATACATGAAATGAATTGAAACAGAGTCACCATATAATGGGGTAAACAATGCCCCAACTAGATGTCTAGACATACAATGCCACAGAGTCATTGGCCAAATAATTCCTGTAGACTCACAACTCCTACCCCACAAACATCATTGCCATTGCAAGGGTTATTGGTTCCTCTCCACAACCTGATGGTGAATTCCTGTTACTGAAGCCCATGCTGTTTTACATTTTCGAACACAGAAAAGATTGCATTGTTGCCTAACTATAAGTTTCACCTCTACTTATTAACATTCACTAAGCTGAAAGGTGCTTTGCATGCATCCACAGGACAAAGGTAAACATCAGTATCATTTAACTACAAACTATATGGCCTACAACCGTAACCCTTCTGCAGTGACACAAATAAATGTTATGTGAGATAACGACCTATTCTGGATAGACTGAAGGCCCAGTTCATGAGATGAGACCCATATCTGACACTACTAAAATGGACAAGAACCTGAGATTGCATAGACTTGAAACCTAGGAGAAAATATATTATTATTTTGCTAAGGGAACAGCATTAAAATGATTCCTAATGGCATATGTCTATACTCATAGGTATCTTCATTATACCTATTTCATTTACTTCAAGGCTTAAAGAATTATGGAGAAGAGGCACAACCATTGTTTAGAGCCAGAAGTGCTGGCTAACTCCAAGGAAACATCATTCAGACACAACAGGACTGATGTACATATTAACTCACAGAGACTGTGACAGCATGCAGAAGAAGTGAAATTATATCATGAAGATAAACATTACTTTTATACTTCATTGCTGTGGCAGAACTTGTGAGTTTAAATGCTATCAATAGTCCTTGACAGTGCTAATTCCTTCCACCCAAGTGTTGGTAATTCTTATTTTAATCATTTTAATTCTCGTTCCTCAGGGAATTTTTCTTGGGGTTGCTAAGTGTACCTGGGCCCCCTCCATTTCTCCAGACACAGGCTTTGATTTATGCACAGGGCCTACCCATTGCTTCTTTGGGCTCTGCTTCCACCCTCAAATGTGACCATACAGTTTTCTATTGGAGCCAAAATTTCAAAACACAGTTCATCTTCGATGGTCCCTACAATCCTTCTGATGCCTCTCCTACACCTCAGAGCAAAGTCTAGAACATTAGACATGTTGGTT